CACACACACACACACACACACACACACACACACAACCAATATAGTATAATTCATGATATATATAGTCACTATTTGATATGAAAACTACTATAACAGCTTTTTGCACTGAAACTCCCTGTGAAAACTGTGCAGCTTGCTTATAAACACATTGATTTGCACTGGCTGTATTCTCACACATATTTCACAATAAAAACAACATTTACCTGCAATTATTAATAACAAACAGACACACACACCTGCCTCTATAAATGTTCTGTCGCGTCAGGTGTGGAGACATATTGATTCGAACCTGTTGGCATCAGCTTCACTCAGCCCTGCACTAATGCAACCAAATGAAAGATGTGCATGACGCCTGTGTTACCATTGTAAGTCTATGGAAAATGAAGGTGTAATGTCAGCGGTCGGTCAGATGGCAGAGGTCTCATCAGGTGCTAGTGAGGCGTTCGAGGAACTGGTGCCTCGAGGAACTGGTGTCATCCATCCTTTTGTCACGAAAACCTTGTGTGTGTTCGCATGTGAACATTCTCTGGCCATGCAGATGGTAAGTTCGGCATGTGTGTGTGTATGTGTGTGTGTCTACAGACTTTCACTCTAACTATAGACACAGCTGGAGTGCTGCCAATCACACAGCTGTTCACACTACAGGCCTTTCATGTTCCGTTTAAACGTATTGCTCAAATCAGATTTTATGGATTTGAAAGCCCAATTGGCTTTTTGTGGAGGGAACCAGGGCGATGATAACTTCCTGTTGGCCTACAAAATGACGTCATCCCTGCACGACTTTATGGTGTACGTAGCTGAGGTCATGTCAAAAACACAAACACTGAAAAAAACTTGTCTCCCTGAAGTGTCCCTAACTCTGATATTCATTCCTGCTAGCTGCTTCATTGCGATGTGAGGCACTGGGCCCAAACACAGGGCTGTTCCACTTCTGTCAACACTATGGACTGATACCCTTCTCTAGGCTGCAGGCAAAAAAATAAAAGGTTCAGACTTGGCTCTTTGACAATCAAGTAGTTTGTTGTGTACTCTGCTTGTGTGTTTTCACCTCTGTGTTATCTCAAACTCTCTAATTTAACTTATTTTGCATTCAGTGAATACAAGCTTTCCGAAATTAAATGAAAACTACTGTACATGAAGTGGTTTGGTGTATAGGCACACTAGCATATTTCTATATAAAATCTTTGAACAAAAATAGCTCTAATACATCTGTATAACATTGGACTAAGTGATGTATAAAGCATATTGCTTCAACAAGGAGACAAGAAACCTAATACTGAGCCATGATTTGTATTATCTGAAGACCATATGATGCTTTCAGCTGATGGTGCAGATGTATTTATGTGATTCCTCTCCACTCGTAAGGCAACAAATTAACTCTTCCTTTCCTATTAATGTGTTACTGCCCAGTCTGTCTGTGTACCTATTTCATTAGCTCATGTTAGAATTAACATATCGGATCTATCCAGTCAGTAATGATTAATTACATAGTCATTGTGGAATTGATTAGTGCTTTTCCAGGATATTCGTTTTATAGTAGTGATAGTAACAGCATGTACCCTGTAGCCTTCAAGGGGTTTCCATCAAGTCCAGTGCTCTTCAACTTGATTTAGGAAGTATGCGAGCACAATAAACTAAAATAAAGAAGGTTAAAACATGGCTTGACTCTCTAATAGACAGGGCTACAACAATGTAGAGCAACGCATGACCCACATTAGTTAATGTTTAACTTTAGTGGTGCAAATCCATTGTTATCTGCCCTCCCTCTTTTCCATGGTTCTCCCCCTGTCTTTCCATTCACTTTACCATCTGTTCTGGCCTTCAGTTCCCTCTTCTCTCTTTCATTATTTTGCACTGCTGTAGTGCACACGTAGTTAAGAGATCAAACAAATATGAGGCAAAAAACGTATCAACATGAAGTTATCTCTACAGGTGATCAATTCCCCGATATACATGTACATTGTCAACTCCAGAGGTGGATCACACTGAAGGGCCATATCCATGTTTTACTGCACAGTGGCCGGTGCCCTAGCGATGGCAGTGTCCAGCCCAAACACCAGACTAGATTGATGATATTGCACAATTCTACAAAAAAACAGAATTATGTTGATGTCAAGTAGTGCTATCCGGTATACCGGTTTTAATTTCCCGTATGATATTCATTTTTCACACACAGTCATACCGGTGCATAGCCGAAACAACTGCTGTAACTCTTTAACAAGTAGCAAAATATATTGTTCGCCGCTAAGGGCGCTACGGTCGAAGCTACTTCAGTAGAGTGTATTGAGCGGGACCCCTAATCATGGTTATAACACAACAATTAATAAGTCACAACTAACGCTCTTTAACAGGGCAAAACACCACGACACAACAGTTTGTGACACATAAACAATCTGTAACACTAATAATTGTACATTTATAAAATTACACCGCCGAACGGCATGCTGGGTACAGCTCACTAGCTAGCCTGGTAGCACAACATTTTGCTTTGACTGCAAAAATGGAAGATTCTATATGTAAGCTTAAAAAATTCTCAAAAGGGAAATCAACAGCAATTCAATGTCGGACAGGTAAAAGTAACCTTTTATGTGTTTGTTGTTCTCTTTCTACATCCGTGGTTGTTACACAGATTAACACAGGATTTCACGATTTTTGCGGGTGGCGCCCGCGAGCACTCCGCTTCTGAAACGCTTGTGGCGCACACGCTCTCAGTGGAATCAAATATGTACCTTACCTATGTGTGTGTGTAAAGAATGCTGATATGAAAGATGAAGAATAACCAGTAGTCAATGTGCAAGCTGCCAATTGAATGGTGATTTAAGATACTCTATTGGGTTCATATATTTATAAATCTGACTCTGAAAGTCAGTGCCTCACCAGCCACGAACCTCACCGCACGTCACTGATGCTGACGTACTTGTAGGCCAGCTAGAAGGCTCTGGCAAGTCAAAGAATACACCCAACATGTCAAACTAAAGATCTGATTGGTTGAAGACTATGACAATCAACAATAAAAGTCCCCATTCACTAAGGGCAAAGAGATTCAGTTCTAATTCTGCAGGCCTTGGGCAGATTGTTTTACCTAGAGACACGGAGGTGAAATCTGATTGGATAAAAGCTCTACTTAAAACAAGCTGCACTGGAAGCAGAGCAACTGAGGAAGACAGTAGCTGTGCAATGAGAAAATAAGATAATGGGAAAAACATTTTAGAATACATGTAGTGTATTTATGAAAGATAATTACATTGTAAAATAGCTATAACTTTGTGATTCTGTCTTGGCCAGCAGAGAAGGCCTTGCTGGCCCTGGCGGCCCACCACTGGACAGAACACACTCATCAATATCAGAGAAGGACTCACAGGAATTTACCCAATTCCTGGGGTTTGACCTTGAGACGATCACCGCACACAGCCAGACCTGCTGGTAAGTGGAGTCAACTGCCCCAGGAAGGAGAGCTGGGATGGAAGCTAAGCTAACCCAGCTAGGACCTAAGGCTATTCCTCCACCCAGTCTGCTCCTGGCTAATGGTCAGTTGCATGAAAATTCAGGCAAACCCAGCAACAGCAGATCGGTGACTATTGTGCCAACGGAGACCAGGCTCCAACGTGGGATCCCACATCAAGCATCACTTGACAGGTGGAGCGCAGGACAGAGAGCAGGACTCCAGTGGGACGAGGCATACTCTGTGTGAACATCAATGATGCCTGGTGCTCAAACATACTTAAAGTTGATGAACGTTTCCCTGATGGTGAATTTTTAATGTTTAGTTGTTATCTGCCCAGATGCAAATTCAAACTACAGGAAAGCACCATTGTTTTTGTTTTCAGGAGAACCAGGAAGACCACATCTCCTCCTCTCCACATAAACGGTGAGGAGGTGGAGAGTGTAATTGACATAAAATTCCTGGGATTCCACATCACAAAGGATCTGACATGGGCCCTTAACACCTCCCACTTGGTGAAGAAAGCCCAACAGAGGGTCTTCTTCTTGAGGAAACTCCAAAAAAGCCAAACTCCTCTCTCAGCTCCTAGTCAACTTCTACAGGAGCACCATAGAGACAATTATCTGCCACTGCGCCACCGTGTGGTACACCAGCTGCACAGCAGAGAACCGGAGAGACCTGGCCCGGGTAGTTAAAATAGAGCAGAGGATCTTAGGAACCAAGTAGGAACTTACTTATTGTATTCCTTTAGTAACGTTCTTATCCCTTTCGTGTACTTTTATTTTGTATATTGTTTGTTATCGTTGTTCGCTGCTGCTGGCTGGCTGAGGGCTACCAAACGGAATTTCGTTGTATCACTACAATGACAATAAAAACCTCTTTATCTGTATCTTAGCGTTAGCAACGGGGCTACTAGCTCAATCTGAACTAGAAACCTCGATGCTTCGATAAAGGTAGAGTAAAACACCTCTGTGTTTGAGTTATAAACATTTCCTTTTCCTGGCAGACATGGTGAGGAGACAGAATTGCAGAGTGAAAGCGACACTTAAAATGAAGCAATCTAAAGCAGATGGTGTCATTATTCTAAAGCAATTACATTTTACAATCAACATTTACTTCATAATGAGAAGTTAAAGGGACATTTGCCACTTCAAAATAACACTGCTGGCTCTGGTCAGTCAGTTTATTAAAGTACATACACTGTTTACCTCAAGTAGTTATGTAAGAGCTTATCATCAAGATAATACACAGCAGACACAAACGGACACCAGACCAGAAATGACAGCAGTCAGGCCAGAATGACCATGTCAAGTCCAGGTCTAGGTCAGAGAGAGACTTGACAGAAGGAGTGGGCTGACGGAGGGTGTGTTGTCCGCCCATGCTTTGGATTGGCTGAGAGGCTGCATCAGAATTTAGAACAACTGGGACAGCATGTGCTGCTTGGCAAAATGTGCACACACACACACACACACACACACACACACACACACACACACACACACACACACACACACACACACACACACACACACACACACACACACACACACACAGATGAACATGTGTTTATAATCCCATGTACGCACAAAGCAGTCCAAACCACACACGCGCTGTTTGGAACATGACTATTGTACTTTATGCTTGTAGATATTAGTTCTGGACTCAAAAGAGTAAATCCACGGTGAATCACAGGGCTCAGAGAATACTGCTGCTCTACTCATAGGTTACATTACAGTCATTTAGGAGACGCTTTTATCCAAAGCGACTTACAATTCAGATGCTATTACACCATAGGCACAGCTACGGGAGCAGGTTTTTGGGGTTAAGTGTCTTCCTCAAGGACACATCGACATGTGCCTACCAGATCCGGAGCCGGGGATCGAACCACTGATCGAAGGACGGCCCTGCTCTTCACTTAGCCACAGTCGCCCGTTGAAACCTTCAATATTTACATCTCTGGCCACATCCCAGTCTGTGACGTCACTGCAGAGGTTTTGATGTTGACAGAGAGAGAGATATGGAAAGTGCGTATATGGGGCATCCTGGTGACCTAGCATTAGTCTATCTATGCAATGTACCATACTGTGATGTGATGTCCAAGGTGCAAGTCCAGACAGCAGAGACCTTTGTTGTCCCTGTCCCCTTTCTACTTCATGACTGCCACACTGGTTGGCTTCTGCTGCACTGATGATGCACACAATTGCCTCATTTAGACGTTGAGACGCTAATTATCTTTAATTTCATCAGCACAATTATAAAATGTCAAAGAGGACTGAAAATAAATGTAGGCAGTCATCATCAATTCAAAATAAGAAAACTCAAAGAAGCAGTATACGTTGCTAATGCTCCATGCAGGCTTTTAGCTCAATTTTGTCTCAACCAACTACAAAGAAAAATGGCACTTTAGATGCTGAATGCTCCGCTTTGATCACCAGCTAGTCTCTAACATTGTTGATGTTTGGTGATGGGCAGATAGTGTAAAGTGGATGAACTGAAATCAGTGGGAATTAAGTTCATGAGATGGAACAGCTGCAGGTCGTAAAACCAAAACAATGAGCTGAAAAATGCTAAGCTGCTTTGTAGAGCTGAGGGGAACTCTAGAGTGAGGTGAGGATTGTCTGTGGGTTTGTCACTAGAAACCGTTCCCATTATGCATAATTCATTTGATGTGACTTGGGGCGACTGTGGCTCAGTGGTAGAGCAGGGTCGTCCTTCAATCAGAGGATCTGCGGTTCCATCCCCAGCTCCACTAGTCCATGTCGATGTGTCCTTGGGCAAGACACTTAACCCCAAACTGCTCCCGTAGCTGTGCCTACGGTGTCTGAATGTTGTATGAACGTTAGATAGTCCTGGTGGGCAGGTGACACCTTGCATGGTAGCCCCTGTCATCAGTGTATGAATGAATCATGACATGTAGTGTTAAAGAGCTTTGAGTGGTCAGAAGACTAGAGCTAAACAAGTACAGTCCATTTACCATTTGATTAAAATTATTGATTAGTGCTGCTTTCAATTTATGAAGTGATCAGTGTCTTTAGTGTCTATGTGTTGGTATTTGATTTTTTTATCATGTATTATAGTAATATGATATCATAACAGAATTAGTTTTGAGCAGCCGTTCAAAACGTGTGTTACAATATTTCATCGTTAAGATTCAGTGCACTGTGGTCCACTCAGTCCAGTTTTACACAACATGGGCTATTATTGTGAAGAATGCAAATAATGTTAATAACTTAATGATCGGCATTATCATACTGATAAGGTAGCATCTGAGCTTTTAAAACATAAAATAGAAACCATAGAAACAGCTGCTTGAACGTATTGTAGTTAAGCTAGTTGTATGCTAGTTATTGCCAAACATAACTTTGTACTATATATCATCTTTTTAATTTAATTAATTTGTGTCAATATCCATGAAAAAAGGATCCTAATTGACTTTCCATCTTCATTTTGTATTTTCAATTCATGTCCATGGACACAAACCAATAGATTGCATTTGGTGACTATTTCCCGACCTGGCATGATACCGGGCATGAAAACACAACAAGGTAGAGGAGAGGAATGCCAACACACATACACAGCATTTGTGACATTTTCTCTGGCATTTATCAAGCCACCTTCTTATATGTTAGGCTACAAAACATGGTATATTCATTTACCAAAGAAAACAACGTGTTGAAATTTTCATGCATTGTGTTTGTAGTCAGTTTAAGTTGATTTTCAGTAGGAATTATTATCTCGTAACTCAGCATTAAAGATATAGAGGTATTATGGTATTGTATTATTTTGAGGTTCAAACACGTGTTTTGGGTATTTACTGGAACATGTTTACATGCTTTAATATTAAAAATAAACACATCATTTTCCTTATACTGCCTGTCTGTACATACCTCGAGTCTGAAACGCTCTGTTTTAGCACCTGTCTCTTTAAGTCCCTCTCTCTGCTCTGATTGGTCTGCGCTCTTGCTGTCTTCATAACGTCACTGGTCGTTTTGATACTTTTACAGTACTTATATAGCACCTAGACCTGTTTTTTTGTTTTTTAAAGCATGGAAATCTTACTTTCTACAATATGGGACCTTTAAGTTTTACAAAAAGTGCTTTGGTAGAACTGCTGCTCCTTTGTCAAGAAGGTGGTTTAGCATCTGATCTAGATGTCTCCTGGATGCTTCCCAGGCATGTCCAACTGAGAGGAGGGATTATAAATCCCAGAAGGGCTGGGAACACCTCAGGAGTCCTCAGGAGGATATGGAGGAAGTAGCTATGCATAGGGACATCTGGGATCCTTTACCTAGCCTGGTGCCACGGCTACAAACAGGAATTTTATAATAGAAGTATTTTTCAATGTGAGGAACCATTTCTTAAGTTCCGTTTTGAATACATTTTGACACTTCTTCTCAGCTAGTTTTTCAAATTGAGTGTGCAGGCGCCTGTGTGTGAGTGGGAATCATACTGTGAGTGAAGTGAAGGTCAGGCAAATTCCTCCGAAGCCATTGAAGGACACAGCGAGGAAGATGAGGCCAGACAGCACTAAGAGGACACATGGAAATGAAGGTTAAAAACTTTACTGGTACATTCAGCATTATTTACAATGTGGGTGTCAATGGTTGTACCTTTAACCATTCCCAACTGAAAGACTTAACATGTCCTTTATAATCACTGATAGCATAGATAAACTATGCAGGTGACAAAATGTAATTTTTGTTTACAACACACAGTTTGTGTATTAATTGTTCTTTCTTTTCCAAGTTACTTAAACTGTGTATAGCCTGTCTTTATGTGACTGCTCACTTTCCTTGTCTTGTTGTAAAGATGCTGCAGTGTCTCCAGACCTCACAGTGAAGCTGCAGAGTAAAGTGTTACCATAACGGATGATTGCAAAACTACAACTCTTTCCTTTAAGTACTGTATTGTCTGTATTAAGTACTGTATCTCTATTGTGTTGTTGCAGTAGCAGGATTGAATGGAAGCAAGCGTATGACGATTCAAGGTTGAAGTGTCTTACCTTCGGGGTCATATGCAGCGGCAGCTATCATTGCACAGGAGGCTGCGAAACATGAACTGAAATGTACACAGGATATCAGAGCACACATGGGGTGTGGTTTCAATGTAATTTTCATTTTACACGTTAAACTCTCATCTTTAGATGAAAAGCAGACAATAAACGGACTGTCTGTCTCACCTGCCAATGAGCCTCAGTGGGCGAGGTCCATATCTGTCCATCAAGATTCCCAGGGGCAAAGTGGCTGCACTCAAGAGGAACGAGCCAATGGTGAAGCCGAGGTTGAGTACCTCATCCTGCTCCACACAACTCCGCCAGTTACCATTGTCCATAGAAGTCACGTTGGTGTCGACAGTTTCATTTTCTGGATCGGGTCGTTGAGAGAAAAAGTCAGGAGAGAATAAACTGTTGAAAGTAGAGGACCAAACACAAGACTAGACGTGACAATGAATGGAACAAAATGAACACAAAACACCACTGATAAAGGCCCTGATAACTTAGTCAGTGTTAGAAGTCAGGGGCAAAGGGGCAACCTCAGGGTCTGAAAAATGAAGCCAATGCGGAGGTACAATAAACCTGCCTTCTCTTTAATGGCCATCAGGGGGCGACTCCTCTGGTTGTATAAAAGTCTATGAGAAAATGACTCTACTTCTCGCTTGATGTATTACCTCAGTAAACATTGGAAACATAAGTTTATGGTCTCAATATCTAGTTTCAAGTCTTCTGACTGATCTCAGTTTGTATATGTAAATGGTGAAACCTCCATGCACACCAAAGTTAGTAACGGAGTTCCACAAGGTTCTGTGCTTGGACCAATTCTATTCACCTTACATATGCTTCCTTTAGGCCATTTAATCAGAAAACACTCCATAAACCTTCATTGTTATGCAGATGATACTCAATTATATATATCGATCAAACCAGATAAAACCAACCAGCTCACTGAACTTCAAGCATGTCTTAAGGACATAAAAACCTGGATGACTTGCAACTTCCTGATGTTAAACTCAGACAAAACTGAAGTTATTCTACTAGTTCCAGAACACCTCCGAAACCAATTATCTAATGATATAGTTATTGTAGATGGCATTGCGCTGGCATCCAGCACCACTGTAAAGAATCTCAGAGTTATCTTTGGATTTGTCCTTTAACTCCCACATAAAACACATTTCAAGGACTGCCTTTTTTCACCTACATAACTTTGCAAAAATCAGGCACATCCTGTCTCAAAGCGATGCAGAAAAATTATGCATTTGTTACCTCTACACGAGATTACAGTAATTCGTTATTACCAGGCTGCTCTAATAGGTCTCTTAAATCTCTCCAGCTGATTCAGAATGCTGCAGCTCGTGTACTAACAAAAACTAAGAAAAGATAGTTTTTTGTAATAGCTTCTCTGCACTGGCTCCCTGTAAAATCACAAATTTAATTTAAAATTCTTCTCTTCATCTACAAAGCTCTACTTGGTCAGGCACCGTCACATCTTAAGGAGCCTATAGTACCCTACTAGAGAGCTGCGCTCCCTAAATTCAGGGTTAGTGTGGTTCCTAGAGTTTAAAAAAAGTAGAATGGGAGCCAGAGCCTTCAGTTATCAAGCTCATCTTCTGTGGAACCGGTGTGACGTTTATTTGTAAATAATGGTCCCATTTAGAGTCAAATAGACCATAAAGCTGGGTTTGCTTTAGGGGGCGTACCTTGTGATTGTTAAGTTGTTGTCAGGTCTGTCATTGAAATCAGTCCTTGAATAAAGACTTCAAAAATCCACCACACCCATGGTCTCCTCAAAGAAACAGAAACACCACTCATAACATGGTCAGAGTGTTTCTTCACCAAGTCATAGGCACCACAGCATTCAGCATCCTGTCTGTGACACATTTATTGTGTCACAAGAAAAGCTGTCAAAATGCACAGTAATGTAAACATCTGTATGTTGGTAAAACTGCATATTTGAAACTATCCAAGAGAGAGGTATGTGTCTGATACTGTATATCTGGCTGTGGATGGTTACTGCACTACAGACAACAAGAGGAGCTGATTGGAGGGTGGTCTTACCAATACAAAGGTGGGAATAGAAGCCTTCATTCTTCAGCATGATGAGCAGTGAGCCCCAGCCCAGCAGAACAGCAGAGAAGAGCAGGTTCTCCATAATGGCTGTGATAGCCATCCACCACCTCCTCCTGTATGCTTGGGCCAAGCTGGGAGCCATGACAGCTGTAGACACACAGGAAAACATTAGACCACCAAATAGTCGGAAAACAAGTTCTCCTGGGAACCAGCAAGTACAACAAATCCTCACTTTGCACCACCCTGTATTACTACCTTATGCCCCTTTCAAACATGCACTGCAACCCTGAACTCATGGAGACATTACCCAGAGGAGCTGTATATGAGAAGGCAAATGTCCGAATCAGTTGACATTAAACAGACTTTACCCTGCCGGCTGCCTTGTACATAGTCTGAGTAATGTTCAATTGAGACCATGTGTGAATAGAGCTGCTCATTGTCCAGAGAATACAGAGAGTGGGTGTGGTTATGATGTTTGTGTCGTACAGCTGGCGCTAAACCAGAACAATACAAACATCCAGGGTAAAGAAGAAGGGTCATTTACATGAAGACGGAAACGAAAAGTCTAACTTCAAGGGACTCTGTTGTTTATGACCAAATTGTGCACTTGCTATGTGACCGCGGAGTAATCTACGTCATGTCCTTTCTCCTGCATGCTCTGCCTACTGCATGCTCTGCCCAGGCGCCACCCATTACCTATTTCCACATCGGACACAAACAATCTTCTGCATCAGTGTCACATAACATTCTGCATTTCACCTCAGCTCAAAGGTGCTAGGGCAAAATGTCCCTAAGCAAGGCACTAAAACTGAACAGTAACCTTACATCAGAGGTGCAGTTCTCTTCAATTGAACCTTTTCTGTGGCTTTTCTGGCCACTTGTTTTCTCTCTATCTTGTGTTGTGAGCTACTTTTAGGCCATAAGGATCAACATGGTTGGTTTTGCTGAGGAACAGTGAATGGAAACTTTCGGGAGAACCCCATGTACCCTTCATTCTGTCACCATTAAACACTATCACTGTTGCATCAGTAAAACTCTGTGGAGCTGCACATGGTGTCAGCTGTGAGCTGTCATGAAACCTGAAAGAAAGCATGGGGAGGGGGAAGACGAGACCAAACAGGGAGGAGTTTGACCCCACTTCACCTTCTACGGTAGCTGGATGCAGTCTATGAGCTGGAGCTATCAAGTGTGCTGCACTGATGTAGTCCATGTGCACACACAAACATTCCTGTTGAATTACAAATCAGTGGACCCGGTGTTCTACCCAGCTATGAGTGTGCAAATATTTGATGGACTGACTCTGGTGTGTGTGAAGAAAGCAGTGACTCAACGTGAATAAGGCACATGTTTGCACACCAGAAGTCCAATAGACCACGGAAATAGCCTCTCCCTCTCTCTCCCTCCCTCCCTCCCTCCCTCTCTCTTTCTCTCTCTCTCTCTCTCTCTCTCTCTCTCTCTCTCTCTCTCTCTCTCTCTCTCTCTCCTCATCAAATACTGACAGTTGGTCAATGGCCCTATGCTACAAACTACGATGCTCCAGGTTCACATTTAGTGCCTTTTCATGACGTGTCAGGGACAGCGGGTCAGTTTCCCATTGTTACCAAGTGTTTTCAAAACGTAAGTTTACTTAGTTTTTAAGTTAACTTGGTCATGTTTAGGTAACAAAACTACCTGGTTAGGTTTAGGAAAAGGTTGTAGTCTAGGTTAAAATACCTACATTACATAAAATATGTTTATTACATACCAGGCACACACACACACACATATCAGGAATTGTAGGAAAACGCTATTGTGATTTGTGTGTTGTCTTTTCTTTCCAGATACTATCTGACGGCAGCAGGGTGGGTATTGTCTTTTGATATAATTTGAGCTTTTCGCAGGCACCTCTTGTCACCAATATCACTGATGGTAAATGTACTTGTATAGCACCTTTCTAGTCTTCTGACAACTCAAAGTGTTTTAACGCTACATGTCACGCACCCATTCATGTCCAAGACACATCAACATGGACTGGAGGAGCCGGGGATCTTCTGACTGAGGGGATCATCAGCCCTCACTACTGATGTCACTGATGCTCAGTAGATGGGTACCAATTACCTTCTAGGTGGTTTTTAATCACCCACTGTAGAGCCCTCCTGTCCTGGCCGTTCACATACCATGCCAGTTTGTAATGTTTCAGCCAGGATGCACAGCCTTTCTTCACCAGGGTGGAGATGTGGCTGGATGAACATTTCCAGCTCTCTGTGATCTTGAGTCCCTGGAACCTAGAACGTTTCACCTGCTCCACCTCTGCCCCACTGTAGACTTGAGCAGGCTGGGTAGTGGAGGTAGGAGGTAACCTGAGGTAGCCTCAGGTCTTAGCAGCATTAGCTCAACTCATACCCCAGCTCTCTTAGTTATTTTCCCAGGGCGCTCAATCAGCTTTCACTGGCGTTTGGTCTGGCTGGATGGTTGGAAGATGTTATGGGCGTTGATCGTCTCGAGGTCTGCTGCACTTCATTCAATCATCGCGCTCCCTTTTCCCATGTTGATGAGTGTATTTCTGTCATAGATGGATCAAAGTTTATGGGAGCTACTGGCTAATGTTCACCATGGTAACCCTAACTGTTACAGCTTTGGTCTTCACTTTGTGAGTTGGCAGTTAATATAATTTGCAGCAGTCTGATAGGCTGGATATGTTTGCAGCAGCAGACCATCCCAAACAGGTTTTTGCTTTCTTTGTTAAATCATTGTGATCATTAACTCATCAGCTAATGAAATATATAAGAAATATATAAATATATATATAATATGTTGCCTATTCTTCCTATCTAAAGTGAGCCGGTGTAAATTTTGAAAAAGCCAATAACACACAAAATATTCTTCCTCCTACAAATTAATTCATAATTAAAGACCAGTAGCTCATGCTAGTGAGTCAGTGTTCTACTTACTGTAGCATTTAGCATTATCCTGTACTTGTCACTTGGGTGAACAATGGCTGCTGTTCAGCTTAGGTTACATAGGCAAGGTCAAATCATGAGCCTTTACAATTTAAGTGAATAAAACAAGGAACACATGTCGCACCTGACGGAAATTCACACAATGTCCAAAGGCAGATCATTGACCCTCAGAGGCTCACACTATAAAGGTTCATTTTTCCCCAGCCATCCAGACGAGTTAGCGAGCTTTAATCGTTAAATAATTAAATAATTAAAACTATTACCAGCATCAAAATGTCTGCATGTTGGATTATCAGTATCGATAGTCCAACTGCGGAATCAAGTTCTAGAGAATCGTGACCGTTTCAGAGTAACAGGTGTTGCAGTTTAACCAGTGACCCTGTTAACTGGTGACTTTCAGCCGAAAGACGAGTAGTAACTTACTACTCATGGTTGTTGAGGATAATAAACACAGATAATTATTAATTTAAAATGGATGGAAGGCTTTTAAGAGGGCACCTACATGTTCTGTTGGTGTTTCCATCTTGGGCCACTTGCTAAGGTATTCTACACACTCACTGATGCCGATACAGATCTGGAGAGTCACTCTGTTTAGGTTGCATTCACCGTCTTTGCTGGTTAATGTCCTTGCATAGCTTGACAAGCTCTTGCACATCGCCACACATCTCTTGCTAAACTGCGTGTGCACACTTATGTACGTCATCATTGTTTACAAACTGTAAAGGGGATTTTTTTTTTAAATCCCAGTCCATCATGTAACATGTACAGAATGAGGGGCCGTCAAGGACATGCTGGCTGTAAATGTCTAAAAGTCTGTGTAAATGTCCATCAATATTACTTCAAAAAGTACTTCCTACAAATATAATTTATGCTTAGAGATATTAGAAATGTCCCCTAACAAGGTCATGAATACCACTTGAGTTGGAATGGACTCTTCCAATGAGCACAGTAAGGTTAAAGACTTCATATCCTTCCGCCTTTCTCTGTCTACATAACATGTTACAGTAATACCTGTTCTCAGTTGGGTTCATAAATGGCCATTTCCAAGTGAAAGTGACCCTCACACGTCAACAAATATGTAAAGTTGAATTATACAAAAAGCTATGAGCTCCCTTTCATGTTGGACAATTAGACTCAGCCGAGTCAAAACAATGAAGACAAGAGGGTGGTGGTAGACAGAAGAGGGAACTACCGGATCCTAATGCAGTGGCGACAACATGCTGCTACCTCAGAAGTGCCTTCAGAGCACATTGCCATTCAGCAGCAGAACAGAGCAGCTATGTTATGAGGGGACACCCGTCCCTTTGTCTACAATCCAAACTATGCAACATGTTGAAAGTCACTTACTTTATGAGGTGAGCTCCTCCACAGTAGATGATTTCTATGTACGGTGAAGATTCAACACGTTATCTCTGCTGCTGCTGCTTCGGTTTGCTGACGGGAGAAATTGATTGTGTTGTGGAGTTTAATCTTTTCTTTCTTTCTCTTATATTTAAAGTGTGCTATCTCTCTCCAGTGGTAGCTGTATTCACTGGCACATGTGCACTCACATTAACTCTCTCTAAGTACAGTAGGTCTATAAATGGAGCTCAAGACTCGCCCACCCACTGACCTTAACACACACACACACACAGACGCACACACACTTTGACCAGGACAGAGGCTTTGCTAAATTTGTCCACACCTAATGTGTCTTACAGTCTGGACCAATCCATAGTTTGCCGTGAGTTGATATCTCCAGTGATTTTTAAGACTGAAGTGAAGGATGTACACGTCATTAAACCATTAAAACTCTTTGGTTCCTGAAAGTTTCTCAGCTGACACCAGTGACAGTGATACACTGTCCACCTGCTCCCTAACCCCATCATGTGGTCAGCTGCAGTATGTCTCTAAGCATTGGTTGCACACTGAATACACTGAATATACTGTGTGTGTGTATATAGATATATATATATATATACACATACACATATATACATACACATATACATACACATATATATACATACATACATACACATATACAGTACATACATACATACATACATACATGCACATATATATATACATACATACACATATACTGAATATACATACATACATACACACATACACATATATATATATACATATATACATACATACATATACATATATACATATATACATACATACATATACATATATACATATATACATACATATATACATACATATATACATACATATATACATACATACATATATATATACATA